AACTGCGCAGCATTGAATGATGAATGTATATCTTCTGTTATTATTAACAACTGTCAACCCTCGATTTTACGCCACCGTTACTTCTTCACAAAGTGTCAACGGGATAAATGACAACGCAAAAAAGTGTGGGCTGTACTGTACTTCCATCTTGTGTACTATCTGTCGTCGTACTGTGCAAGATGTTCGCAATAAATTTTGCATCTGGAATCGAGAAAATGGAGATGATATGAAATCACAGCATTACAATTTGTGTACTGTATAACACACACCCATCAGAGCTAAATTAGCATCCTCGCAATTTTTTGGAGAAGGGGTGTTCAAAAATACACCCAGCAGGTATGAAACGCTGTCGCGTCCTTCACTGGATTTTAAGCCACTGATGGTAGTCTTAGTACCAAGAAAGCGGCAAACACTGCCACGTGTTGGAAATTGTGCATGCCAGAAAAAAGGTTTGAAACGCCCTTTGCTTCCGCAGAAGAAGGGCGTCAAACTTTCCCAAGAAACGCAGACCAATGGATTTTCCCCCACAATGACCCATTGTTATATAAACGATTTTGTTGGCGATTGTTGCTTCAGTTCATCCCAAAAATTGACACTTTCAGCTAAGTTTTTTTTTGTGGCCTTTCACCACTATACACAGCGAGCTCCGCAGAAAGTAGTTTCCAGAAATATAAATTAAACACACAGTACCGTTAAAGCGAGGGTTTCGAGCTGATGCATTAATACGAAAGTTCTATTTTTTGAGTTAACAGGGTTCTTGCACAAGCATGGGTAATGAAATATACTGCACATCAGCTAAGGGCGTTTTGAATCTCGAAGATGCTGGTGAATCGGCACTTTTGAGGCGAGGCCATCTGAGGATTAAGAAGCTTGTTGATTGCGTTGTCACCCCATGTATTCCAGGAATAAGGACGCATATGCATATGTCCACGGCGTAGCTATCTCAATTATCGTCTGTGACGTCATTCGCGGCGTGTGTTGCATATCTACTTCAGGGGACGACGATAAACTATAATACTGTACTATAGAACTCATCAGACAAGAGGAGTCGAAAATTTTCTGTTCAAAACACTGGGGCGGGTTTCATGAAACTTTTCACTTACCTTGCTTGACACGTCATGTCACATTTCAGAGCTTCAAAAACTGAAATTGCAGCCGTTCGAAGTCATTCCGAGCTTCTGAAAAAAAGCTGCTGTTCTCCGAACTAAACGCTGCGAGGAAAATCGCAAGCCGTCGCACGAAAGCTCTTTGACTTTGTAAAAGCCAGCAGAAAAATTTGACAACTAGCGAAATTCAAATTCTTTGCATAGAGGAAGAAGAATTTTGTTGATACCGATTCGGTACACTCGGTTTCCACTGAAATGTTTTTTTTTCTCGGAATTTTAGTTTGTCTACAAACAAACATGTCTTCAAAATCCTCCTACTTCTAAAGAGCTCGAACAGCAATGACAAAATTTGAAGGACATTTGCCAAAAGGATTTACTAGGATGTTTATAATATTCGAAACATTACTGTGTTCCCCTAAAATAGCCATACAATCCGTATATAAACAGTTAAATTATTTTAAGGACTCTACACGACGTAAGCTCTACTGAACAAAAATACCCTAACAATATTATTGATATTTAATTCGAATTTCGAAAGATAGCCAATGTAAATCAATTTCTACTGTAATGATCAATGAATAAAATGTTTTCCATGGTGACCCAGAAATGTTGGGACACATGAAAAATCAGTAAAAACAGCATACATGCATTACAAAAAAACCGTTTTCATTATATGTAGCAATAGCATTGATCTTCAATTTGAGCGGGAATTGAGCTTTCTGTAACCACATTTTTTCCATGTAGAGCAGCTTTTTAGACATACAAATATGTCAACATTGTCGGGACCGCCTGTATTATGAAAAAAAACTGGTCCTTTCAAATCAATTTAGTATCTGAACCGGGGGAATATAAATAGTGTGCTGTACAGAACTCGGAAGTTGGAAACAAATTTCAAAGAAAAGTCGATTGTTTTGTGTATCAACATTAATATAAAATAACCCAACTGCCCCTGACACTTCTTAGGATACAATTTTTAAATGGACTCTGCCTTATAATCCAACAGGAGAACGCGGATTCTGGAGTCATCAGCGAAGTTCCATCAAACGTAGCGGTCAGCAACAATGGGGCACTTCTGAAGCCATCAAACTTCTTGTATCTTGAGCATTTTCAAGGATGATGATATTACTGTATTCTGTTACACTCGGGGCTGGGTAGGGAGCTCGAAACTGGTTCACTCTCCACGATTCACAGAAATACATCACGTAACTCGAGGTAAGAAAGGAATAATCAAGGCCGACGATATGCACTGGGTAATACAGTATCTTGATGCACGTCTATAGAAGACGAACCGTTCGTGCGGCAGAGGGATTCGGACACATGCCACTGAGCCAGCGTATCAACGTTGACGGGGGAAAAAACGGAAAGCGGCTGGCAGATCAGGTGTTCCGAGCTTTCAGCCGAGCGGACAAAGGCAGCTACGTGTGAGATATCTCGTGTAACTGCACACGACCGGGAAATGATAAAGCTGTTAAGCGAATACGCCTGTGGTGGATGAGACACCCGCCGGAGACGGCCCGTTCAAATCAAATCTAAGCGAGATTATCGTGAATTTCGTCTGATCGCGAGCGTCTCTACATAAGTTCGACAATTCAAAACATTTAGAACCATGCATAACGCAAGGGGCGCGGAGCGATTTGAATTGCTGTTCTGTACCCCGCAACCTATTTCATCACCTCACTCGGCTCATATACTCCCGCCGAATGGTGTCTGGGCTCGTGCGCTGAAATTGCGTCAGGCTGAGGCAGGCGGCTGGTGCTCACGCGTGAAGGGCGGCGACGAACGAGGCCACTTCAACCTGCTTCGGAACCAGAGTCACCGATGATCATCTATCTTCGTTGGTTGCGTAGGTTAAGACAATTTAAACTATATCTCTCTAGATGTCACTCATGTACACATTCGAATTCAGCAAGAAATCCGGATCTCATGGGCTCGAACACCCGAGGCGGCGAACTCCAGTACTGTTAGCAGCCGCACCTTCATTCCACGCATTGATTTACGAGAGAGTAAATGAAGATTTTGCGGGGAAAACGCGGAAATTACAAAAGCATAATTAGGTCATCTGAAAAAATTACCACTGTTCTGACGGGCAGTAAACCAGTTACTGTACCTGCAAATAATTTCAAGTTTAGTGTCCGCAGTAAATTGTTGAAAATACGATGCTATATTTGTGCAGTTATATCACAAAAAATGAATTAGAGTATCACGTTTAATTAGTTTACTTTTCGCTTAAATATTGGGGGAAACACAAAAGAATAGCAAACATACAGTAAAATCGAGTAATCAGAGAGGAGTATTCGCGGCATAACAGTAGGCATATTCTACAATTCAGATTTTTCCGAGAAAAATAGCGGCAGGAAATCCCAGTTTAGTGAAATGACGTGGACAAAAATTCTATATCTTACCTTGTTAGTCACTTCACAGTAGCTATCAGTATATCAATGATTATACTGTACTGTATTTGCACAGGCATACTTGATTCTTTCCCGAAGACGAAGAACTTGAAAATCATGCTTGGCTTGGCTTGAATTCGAGAGGGAATGACGAGAGGCTGATTTTAATTCCAATCCAATAAAATTGGCAATGATCCAACTACATTTTAGCCTCGGTGAACCGGCGATAGATTTTGCGAGACGGCCAACATTGTCTCAATCAAAATTGGAATGATGAAAAATGCAACATGCATGAATTCATACTCCTATAAATGCGTGCAATTTCATTGGATCGAATAGATCTTCACTTCAGTTCATAGGTTCTTAGGAAATAGCAAATTAATCGCTCGTCGTATGGCAGAAAGGAAGGAATCCGCGAGCAAAATCAAGCTGAAATGATTTTCCCCCGTCCTTAAGAAAAAATAATGCATTCACACCCGATGAATTCATTCCGGATAGCTAGAAAAGCGGCTTTCTTTCTGGTACGACGCTACACACGCCGCCCGCACGAAGTCAAAGCAATGACATTTAGCTCAATGGCATGCAGCATGCTCTTGTTAACTTATTCGATCCCACGGAAAAAAAAAATCCGCGCTCTCTTGACTGAATAAACAGCTGATACCCGCGGTTTTGCTCGGGAAAAATCGAAAACGTGACGCTTTCGATCAGTTTTCATAATCGGATTAATAAGCATTTTTTTCATTCCCGCATGAGAAAAAGCGACACTGACATGCAAATACCTTACTTGGAAAGAGAAACATATAAACATATAAAGGCCACCGATATCTACCGACTTTGATTATTCCGAGTGCAGAAGTGTTGATCTGATTAATCGCAAATCCACAGTATAAGCGTCCCATGTGATTCAGAGCACAACTCCAACTACAGTACTTCACTTCCCTTCATTTGTATCTCGAAACTCGAAAAGTTGCATGCAATCCTGAATTTGAATCACCGACACCGCCGTTACAAGATAAATCAAAATTGAATTGGAGGTTACCAAAGGAAATTGAATCGTAGGTTCCTTGATCGTACGTTGACCAGATTACATTTTAATGTCATTTAAATCACGCACGAACATCATGAATGAGTCATACCTACCATCACCCCTTTCGAAAATTGAATTTTTAATTTAAAAGCCCGCCTCGCTTTCAATTCGTCATAACTTAATTATCCCGATCATATACTAGATAAAATCAAGAATAACGCCGCTGTTCATACGCGAAAGTGAGAACCATATGCAGCGTGGACACTGGTATAAAATAATGCATCGATTTTTGGGCAGCTATTGAACGAAAAAAAAGAGCAAGGAGCTTCCGAAAACGGTTAAACCAAATCATTTCATTTCATGGTTGTGCATCCATTGCTAAAAGCCCTAAGAAAAATGTTGCTGCAGAATCACGATTGAATCGTTTGTCCTCCTTCGGCGTCAGTCAAAAATCGACGAATGAATGCAGCAAGCAGCTTTGGCCAGAGAATGAAGTGTTTATTTCTGCACATGACAGCGACTTTCGTGGGGTCCATCATTCGTTTCAGAGCACTCGCGATCTTGCAGCAGGGACCGAAACTCGGTAACAACGGCTTGTTCGAGATCAAACAGACTTGTCTTTGCTTCAAGAGAACATTTCACCAGCGCGTCATTCCTATATTCTAGGAACGCATCGGAACTAAGTACTGTACTTCGGATTTCTGGCACAACGACCCTATCCTATTCAGTCAATACTGCTCCCTTTTCGGGGATACGACGTAAGCGACGGCCTATTCTTACGGTTTCTCAAACGGGATATTTTTCAATAACACCGAGTGTCTCTAAACATCCATATAATACTGGGACACCTATGCGGGGATATGGAAACTTCAATCTCCCGACACCCGAGTCGCACACGCAAAATAGGGGAATGCGACACCAAGAAATTTCTTCTGCAGACGGGGCAAAGATTCGTACAGGGGAGAGTTCACTGACTACACTTCAATAGTGTACCACGAATGGCCAACGAGGGAACCATTCCAGAACTACGAATTACTCATGAGTTCATCATGGAATATCGCAATGAATCTTCCCGCGTCAACTTGCGTACAGGATCTTAAAGCACATTTTACTTTTCAAGGATAGAAACGATCATGACGCTTTCGAGCTGGGGTTCGAATCCGAAACGGTTCGACCAGAGAAAATTACTGTTCTAGACCCACATGATATCCACACTTTCGAGTGAACAGTTCGGGTACCCAAGAAATAAATACTGTTCAACACATCAAACCTCCAAAAAAAAAAATCAGAAGAAAACTTCCATGAAGTTCCAAGAAGAGAAGGAAATCAATATCTGCTTGGATTATGAAGTTTCCAGCATCGCTCCACAAAGACGGGAATACATACAGGCATTGAAAACGTAATACAGTACATAACGGCAAGCGGATAACTGTTTTTTCAATTCAACACAAGATCCTAAATAAAATGTGAGATCTTCTAGATACTGAAACCAATACTTAAGATGAGATCCTTTGAATTCCTCCCAGTTCGATATTTGATAAGATAATCTGACTAGGACGGTACCAAAGCTACTGTGTCATTACATAAATCAATAATAATATGAAACAAAACACGTGCTCTTTTCGAAGAAGCACGAACAGGTAGAATGATTAACGTCTCGGGGAAATTACCTTACTCCTCGATACAAATCAGATCATAGATCACACAGTCGTCGAGTTCAGCAGTCAAACGCTGCAATCCGGAATTGGGGAAGTCGCTTTCAGACTTTTTAAATCCCAATGAATCCCTACAAGCTCCGTCGCAATAAAACTTAAAGCACCATCTTGAACCTATTTACACAAAATATACGCTTTCTCGCATCCCGCAATAATTCCCGCACACCGCATTCTTTCAATTGCATCAAATGAGGCTATTTCCAATCCCCAGAAAAACATAGCTCGCAAAATCTCTGGTCGCGACTAGATCCGTTGCAAGGCTTACACACCTAACTTTTTTTTCTTCGCTAATTTTTGGTATAACTAAACGTTGACTGAGTATCGCATCAATCCATGTGATTAGTCGGAATGAAGAACATTTTTCAAAATGAAACAAAACTGAAACCTGCCTGGGTTGATCACGTAGACATTTCTCGACGTCGGAAGGTAATCCAAAGATTTTCAAGAAACTAGGATTTACATCCAAAATAGGCTCTCAGCGTCCTCTCGAGAGTTCCAGAGACAGGGAACAATAAAAGGTAACTACGAAGTCACTCTGGCACACCTCGGGTTGAATGGTTGCCTACGTTACCGGATGCTACTCAAAAACCGTTCATTCACATTTTTGTGGTTTCTGAACATCGAGGTCATGATAGAATTGGGAGACTTCTGCAGCCCGAGAGGTAAGCATTTTTCCGTTTTCATCTAGTTGCCGACATTTTCGGTTATTGCGCGTTGAAGTTCGAGCGTTTACTCGCGCAGCTTATGCCATTCCGCAATTTGCCTGCGAGGAGAGTTGCACACTTCTTTCCAGTGATGCAAAGCTGATCCACTGCATTTTGGACCTCCAAGTTCGAGACGTCCAATAACCTGCGAAATCCACAAAAGTCCCGTTCAGAACTCTCCGTTACAAATATCAACACGTGAAGGAAATAATTCGAAAATGTTTCCGATTTTTTGGACACATGAACTTTCCGAGAACACTGAAAGCTGATGAAGCAGGAAAAAAGGACAATACTTGAAAACATTTTCCGTTCTGTAAATTTTTGTTAACGCCCGACGCCATTTTTGATGGCCTTTACAACACGCCATATGAGCTTGGCTTGGAAAAAATTGGCGATTCTCTTTGAAAGATATTCTCCGGTTTGTGCAAAATAAAAATTCAAATAAGTTATTTTCATTCAAGTCTTTTGGAGTATTCCGACTACTTGAGTACCCCCAATCCAAAGAGATCAGCAAATAGGGATGAAAAAAAGTGGAAATGTTCTGCGACCTGCACAAATATCGAGTTTATTTCAAATAAAATTAAAACAGCTACTTGAAATTTGCGGAGGCAAAATATAAATTATATGGAGGATTAGAATGTAAAATAGATTACTCGGACAAAAGCGCTCCGAATCCTTAATTTTAATTCGAGTTTCCAAGTCATACTTCTGTTACAACTTCGTTAATTTACGCCACCTCTACCTCTGATGATTCCAAGATTTGAGCCTCACTAACGTCCCATGATGCAAAAAATATTTCTACGGATAATTAAACCGAAGCGTTTGTAGAATGCCACGACACTTTTAGTACAGCATTATTTACTCACTTACAAGGTTTGTACGATATTAAATTCAGGAAAAAATTACATGAATAAATAAAAGAAAAGAGAGCTAACTAGGAATGACTGAAATATTACAGCTCCTTATTGTGGACGGAGAATCACTGACAAAATGAATACTGGTGAAAGGAAGGAGATGAGTTTCGTCCGATTTTATTTCTTCAATTTGAACCTTTTGAGGATAATAAACTTGACTTGCATGTTGCAAACGCAATTCTTGAATTTTTTTGACGAATAAAAAAGTCAGAAGCATAAAAATATAAATGAAGAGGAAAAACGGGAAACGCACTTCGTTCTTGGTGACCCTATCCCAATCCAGAAGAAGAAATTCGAGCGAAATGTCATCCAAGCAGATGGTCATAAGCTGATCAGCATTCGCGTCAGAAGCTGGAATACCAAACGCTTCTTTCAAAGCAGATGGATTAGGGAGATCGAAGGCGAACGACTCGTTGAAGACCGGATTCAATGTCCGCTTTTTCACGTGGGTTTTCTTCTTCGCGATACGCTGATTTTTGTACAGCAAGTAAATCTTCACGTACGGATCTGAAA